AAAGGGAGGAAGCTGGGAGTGGGTGGCGGCAGGTGACCTCACTTCTTAGTGCCACCTTAGGCTGGTAGTGGGGCTAGAAGAGGGAAGGGGTGGCCAGGAAGAGCCTATCAAGCAATGCATTTACAATGATCAATTACCACACGCCAAATGCAAGAGGCTGAAGGCTCAGTTATGTCATCAGTCAGCACCTCAAGGCTGGGGAAGGCTGTGTGCAGCTTTTAAACCATGGACTGCTGTGACTCTGGGTCCTGCCTTTCTCCTTGGACCAGTTTCAACATGGCCACAGTCAAGCCAGCGCTCATATCTACTCCTGACAGTAACTGGCTTTGGGCAGCTCAGCCAGAAAAAAATATTCTTCTTGAGATCCATCTAGAAATGTTGTTATCACATTTTACAAATCTCCATGGAGTCACACACTCATCCTCAAACCAATTCCTGTGTCCAAGGAAATACCAAATGATGAGATATTGAATGCATAAGGCAGGTTACCAAAAGCAAGTTTCTATAGCAACAAGAGTGCGTGGGGGTACTTCGGACTTAATGGCAATGTTCTCACTTCTGATTTGGCTGGTGTGTACCTAGTGCTGTTGAGATGTCCAGAAGCAACACTACCTACCTGGGCTGTCTCGGGGCCTTGAGTGTCATTCTCCTGATGAACCCCAAATTCCAGAGTGTCAAGTTCCAGAGTGACTTTTAAAAATGAAGATTCGTTTCTCATTTTTGCATGCTGTCCGGTGGAGGATTTGACTGGGAGCTTCCTTTGTACCATCTCCACTCCCTCAGAGACTGAAGTGTGGGAGCCCACAACTGACTCAGTTTCCCACTTTGAATCTGAAGTCTATTCTGAGTCAGTAGAGTTCAGGTTTGTTTGCTCCAAGGCTGTGAGAAAGTCCTGATTAGCCCACAAGAAGGAACATACTATCTAGCTAGATGCAGGCTGCTGATGCCAGCCAGAGGTACATTGAGATAGAAAATGAAACTGACCTGACGCAAGGCAGGATAGATAGTGGTTGAATGCCTGTGCTGTGCATTGTACTACCTGCGTCCTTCAAGACTGTATATAAGCTGGCTGTGAAGTAAACTCGGGCCTGTCCGGCATTGACCAGCAGACCTCTCAACTCTTTTCTGTCTTCTTTATTGTCTCTTCAATCCACACGCCTCTACCCAGCTACCCAGCTAACTGTCGGCAGGCCCGACCCTGAAGCAAATGGAACTTCCACCAGAGTATTCCTCACTGCTGTGGCAAGGGGAGAAAAACTGATTTTCACTCTGCTTCCCAAGCGCCCACCTGGAAGTGACGCGCATCAGTTCCATTCACATCTCAATGACCAAAGCAGGTCACACAGCCACTTCTGCTTTCAAGTCAATACAGAAGTGTCAGTATACAGAAGAGAGTGAAAATGTTCACGAATGAGTGAGCTGGACATTGGCAGGCAGCATGGGCATAGGCTCTCTAGAAAGCTCATTGGCAAGGCGAGAGAAAGGCCTGGGAAAGTGTACGTGCTCCTTCACACCAAACCTTGAAAATCAGGAACAGCTAATCTGCACATACATCACCTTTGCATGGACAGTTGTGCACAGGAATGTGTGTGGAAGCACTATATCTACAAACAGACAAACGCAAAGCCACCAGAACACCACAGCTGGAATAGTTTCATAAACCAAGTATTGCATTTTAAAGATTTTATTACATTTTATTTTGTGTGTATGAGTGGTCTGCTTGCATATCTTTGTGTGCATAGGAGTGCCTTATGCTCATGGAGGCCAGAGGATGAGATTCTCTGGAACTGGAGTGGCAGTCAGTTAAACAAGTGCAATTAAGCATGGAGCTACCTCTCCAGCCCCACCAGCATTTTGGAAGGTTTGTAAGAGTGCTTAATGACATGGAAGAATGCTCATAATACATAAACTGGGTGAAGGATGAAGAAGTGAACTGTATTATTAATATAAAAAACCATACAAAGGAAATCCCATCTATGTTAATGCTGTAGGGGACTTTGTGCCTCTCTCTATTTCTTTAGTTCTCTATTCCAATGTGTAATCTTTGATAATAATATGGTTAAAATTACTTAAAAGGATTATGACTGTTAAGCATGGTGGAACAGTCCTATAATCCCAACTAACTCAAGAGGCTGAGATACGACCATTGCAAGTTTGAGGCTGACCTGGCCTACATAGGGAAACTCTGTCTCAAATTTTAAAATAAAAAAGTTGATGTATTAGTTTCTTCTCCATTGTTATGCTAAAACATCGTGACAAAGGCAACTTTCATAAGAAAGTGTTTAATTGGACGTATGGTCCCAGAGGGTCAGAATCCATGATGATGGCGTAAAGGCAAGCGGCAGAAACAGCTGAAATCTCACGTCTCAAATAACAGCAGAAGGAAGAGAGCATACTGGGAGTGACATGAGTCTTCCGAAACCTCAAAGCGTGCCCTTAGTGAAATACTACTCCCAATAAGGCCACACCTCCTAATCCTTCCCAAACAGCGCCCCCAACTAAGGACCAAGTATTTCAATATATGAGCCATTCTCCTTCAAACCACCACAACTGGGAATGTAGCTTAGTGACAGGGCATATCCCTAGCATGTGTGAGGCCCTGGGTTCAAGCTCCAGTGTCATCATTGAAAGATAGAAAGTAAATTGGTTAACTTCAAGCTACTTTCCTCTTAATAAAATAGGAATATGAAGATATTTATTATAACACCTTTTGTAGTGGCAGAAATTGGCTAATTGAGTTACATTCTGTTTGATAAGAAGATATGATGAACACTGAAGATTGAGATGTATTTAATCTTCCATAGAGTACTTTCTGAGATAAAGTAAAATAGTCAGAAGTATAGGAAAAGTGAGCATAGAACACTGTTGTTTGTTTAGACACACACATGAACACATACGTACATACAAATACACAAACATCAGCAAATACCAAAAGATTCATGCAAATACACACAACTGCAGATACCCAGAAACACATTCCAACACACACAAACATAAGCAAATAGGTACAAACACAGGTAGCTATATGCAAACACCTACAAATATATAAGGCACACACAAAAACATACAAACAAACACAAACACATGCGAACGCACATCAGTATATGCAAATGCACACAAATTCTTTGAAGAAATGTAAGAACACTGCTAGTTGGCTGCCTTGTGGTGTGGAAAGTCAGGGGACTGGAGAGCTGATATTCAGTCACAGAGAGGAAACTTTTTAACTCTATGTTCTTTACCCGATTTTTTTTTTAAAATCACATATATACATTATTTATCTAGAATCACCCTAAACAAAGAAATTAATTGAAAGGAATAACTCAGATCCTGGGTCTGATGGATACACTGTGATTGTTGTCTGTCTTCCTTGACTTTTTGTCTTAAACTATTTCCCTCTTTGCCTCTGTCCTAGGCTGGACTACAGCTCCAGCTTAACTGGATTTAGGGATTTGATCGCGATCTTATTGATCTGCTTGACATTCTGAGCATAGATAACAGAGGCCCCCAAGGCTGCTGGATTTAGGCTCAGAGAAAATAAGTCACCTTGTCACCTGGCCTACAGACATCTGGCATCCTTCCCAGGGCCAGGCCTGTGAAATGGAGAAGGCTTCTACTTGGTTGATTTTTGAAGCCTCCTATAAACAGTTGGTATCTTGAGCCCAGGACCATTTTGTTTTGGGGAGTTACTTACGTTCACTGATACTGAGTTGGGCCAGTCACTACAGAAACCCTTGAGGTCAAGGTCAAACTTTCTGAAGAGAGAAAGGATTCAAAAGTGATGCTGAGAATTCAGAGCCCAGCTCTTCAAAGCAAGGTGCCAAGGAGAGGCTCCTTGCAGCTCTGCATTCCAGCACAAACTTGACAAAAATCTAAAAGTAAAGGCAGAAGAGATTTTTTGTTCCTTGATTCTGAATTTAGGGCATATTGTTTTCCAGGTTTCTTCCTCCCAAGCCTCCTCCTAGGACCTCCACACCAATCACGTCCCCCTCTCCACTGGGAGCAGTCCATGATAAATGTTTCTTATCCACATGGTGTGTCCCCTAGTCTAGGCAGCGGGGACACCCGGAGGAAAGGGAACAAAACAAGGGAGTCTTTGTCCTTGTGGGGGTTCCTGTCGTACAGCTATGCTGGAATCACAGAAACATTCAGAAAGGAAACTGTATAATATGGCGCAGATGCCGCGGAGAAAAATAAAGCTGAGTGTGGTTAGGCAGTGCAGGATGGGGACTTCCTCCACACTAGAGCCGAAAGGACGGTTGGGAGACAACAGGAAGGGATCGTGTGGGTACTGGGGCAGAGAGGGGTGTGAGTTGTGAGAAGTGACTGCATTTCACTGTGGCTCTGAAGAGGTAGAAGAAGATGGTTTGCTGAGATACAGACTTTACCATTTTTTCCTCTTTTATTTTTATGTGTATGAGTATTTTGCCTTCATCTATGGCTATGTACCCCTTGCTTGTAGTAACCTTGAAGGCCAGAAAAAGGCATTGGGGTTCTCTGAAACTGGAGTTACAGACAGTTGTGAACTGCCATGTGGGTGCTGGGAATCAAGTCCAGGGCCTCTGGAAGAGCAGCCAATGCTCTTAACAATGGAGTCATCTCTCCATCCCCCAGACAATTTGTTTTTCAATGACAGGAATTTGTGTCCCTGTGTGGATTATGTGCACTTGAGTACCGGTGCCTGAGAAGACCAGAGGCATTGGGTCTTCCTGGAACTAGAGTTACAGGAAGTTGTGAACTGCCTGACGTGGGTGCTAGGAACCGAACTCGGGTATTTTGCAAGAGACATATAACAGCTGAGCCCTCTCTCCAGCCCCAGAATTTTTAATTGATGCAATAAATGTTAACTAGTTATAAGAAATAGTACAAATTTCCAACCATGGTTACATCATGGTATAACCATAAAGAGGATTCCAGTCTTGTCACTAACAGCCCTAGATCTGGAAGAATGTTTGAGGCAGGAGAACACACTCAGAATAAAAAGTCACACAGGAAACGTAGAATGCAACATTACAATCCAGTTTATTTCCTGGATGCAGAACAATGGGTGGTACATGGTAGCCAGGAGCCGGTAGTGGCAAATAGGTGTTCATAGAAGTAATTGTTGAATTTAAGCACAGTGGGAAACAGTTGAAAGGACAAATGGGTGCTGAGCAGTGTCTTAAGTCTAAACATCCCTGGGGACCATCTGGCTGATGGCTTGTCCTCACTGGGTGGCAGGAGCAGAGTCAATGGATGCTCCCTCAGAGCTGCCTGGGTCTCCCAATGAATACTTTCTTCTGTGATGGCAGCTCCTGGTACAGCAGTCTCTCTGTGTATTGCTTCTCTGCCCTTTTCCCTTCCTCAATCCAAATGCATCGAGTTTAGTCACAAGGTGGAAAAACTAACGTCCAGGTATCCACTGGCATGGCTAGTGTGGATACTAAGACCTTTAATTCCCATATGTAAGCTGAGTGGCTCATGCCTGTGAGGTCCATGCTCCCATCCCAGGACAGTAGAAGGACCACAGGAGGTTGGGAGGTTGGAGATAATTAGAGGAATAGTACACTGATGAGGCCTTCTTTACTCACTTGGAGTAGAGCTGACTAAGCAGGCAGCCGCCCTTCAGCACCCACACACAGCTGGTACACATGGGCTGCACACAGGCAGGCAGCTCACAGGCTTACAGGCAAACACACACAGGTAGGCTGGAGAAGACAAAAACAGAGACTCAGGCCTCTGACCTCGAGGCCCTCTTTATACAGAATCACATAAAAAAAAAAAGGGCACTCTGTGAAAAATAGTTGTATAATAGCTTTTGTTTACTTTTGGGGTCTCAGACATCCAGTGTTAGTCACTTTATGGTGACTCACAGGCCCCGGGGTTCCAGAGTCAGCCAGGTTTTTTCTGACTCATATTGGATATCCATATCAGTACCACATTGTCTAAGCATTAACTGGCCCTTATGACCTTCTATTTCCCATAATGCCTTTTGCTGGGAATGGGGAGGAGGGGGAACAGCCTTGTGATTCTACTGGTCTTATTCCACTGCAAACACAATATATGGAGCAGATTCCAAGTTGGCCGATAAAACAAGGGCCCTCTGTGACAAGGACAACCGGCCACGTCTTCAGTGTAGTCTTTGGTTCTTTCCATCCTTAGGTAAATACGATTCAACAATGAACTAGATGCTATTATTACTGTCATTGCAATTTTTACCTCAGCTTTTGTCTCCCTACACTAGAGCTGAAAGAAACTTTCTGGCCCAAAGCCTGAAGTCTGCTTCTCTGACAAGTGATTTACTTTTTAGATAGGCTGAAGAATTCCCATGGAGGAGAACATATCTGGGCCAGATGGGATAGCCTGGCACAAAAGTAGTGGATCACTTTTGAACTTGACCAAGCTAGTGAATGTCAATGACTCGTCTTTCCCTGAAATATCTGTCAGCTTATGCCGATCAATCAGCTAATTTCACCATCTGGCTTGGACTTGGGTCTCTGTAGCCCACACTGACTCAGAGAAAAAGATTTTACCAATGGGCAAAGCCTTAAAGCTTTTCACATGGGAGCTTGTCCACCCACGTTTTCAATATAATAAAAGCTATGACAAGGCTCTTTTGCAAACTATTTTTTCTACATATAACCATTTAAATATTGAAGTTTTTCTTCCTTGACATCAAGAAAAACAATAACAGAGAGGTACAAGAAATTTTACACCACGGGAAACAACTTTGTACACACATACCCTCTCAGCTCCATGCAGAAGCGCAATTCCTCATTGCACCCAAGGGTCCTTTGCCCAGAAATGAACATCAAAGAAATAGAAACATAAAGATTCACAGGTCAGCAGGATGTTCACAGGACATCCTGAGAATCTCGCAGGACCAGGAGACCCAACATACCTGAGACATTAACTTTCCTGTCTCAGTCCAACATAGCCTTATGTCAGCTAGGAAGCTGGCTTTCTAAGATGCTGTTGTCCTGAGAAAGGTCTCCTCTCACCAGGTGTGAGCATCTCTTTGGGCATTAGTAGTCTGTATGGAGATTGCCTGCATTCAAATCCAACTTCTGGCACTCGCTGTTTAGGGACCTTAGCCATGTTCATTAACTTTGCTGGGCCTCAGCTTCCTCGTCAGTGAGGTGGAAGATTATCAGAATGTCTATCTCATAGGGAGTTGTGCAGATTAATTCATCAATTCGTCTACATAAAGTTCTTAGAACAGTGCCCAGCATAGAAGTAGTGCTCAATGAATGCATTTATCCCCTAAAATCTGGCCCCTGATCATTTTTATATATTTTATTCAAGTCTTTCATTGTGCATAACTTACATACATAGTATTCATTTTGGCCTGCTTTGTGTCCAATTTTACCATATTGAGGTCACATTTTAAACTACTTTTCCCTGCTTAATTCGATGTGAGTACTTTCCCCTCATTTAAGACGGCTTTTAAGGGCTACATTATATTTCATCATATGGATTCATTTATCCAATTTACTATAAACATTGAGGCTGTTTCTAATTTTTTATTATTATAAATCACACGGCAATGAGCATCTGTGCCCATAAATCTTTATGTGTATGTCTGCTCACTTCCTTAGAATAAATTTCTAGAACTGGAATTGCTGGATCAAGAGTTGGACTCATTTTGAAGTACTCAGAAACACACGGTCCCAGTTCTTGCTTCCACAGAAACAAAAGTCACGACGCTAGCACCGTTCCTCTGTCTGCTCCCTTGGCTAGATGCTTCTTATTCTTCCTTAGGTAGCCTGAGCATCACCTTAGCCATCATGCCTTCTGTTTTCCCGTATTGCCTTAAAGGTCCCTTGTCTATGCAGTCATCACTTGGTCTTGGTGGACGATTAGTTCTGGGACCTCTGCAGACATCAAAATACACAGATGCTCAAGCCTTTCCTATAGAACGGTATAACATTTGCATTTAACGTACGTCATCCTCTTGTATTCTTCAAACCATCACCTTTAGATTACTTACAGTATCTAACGTAAGTGCTCTGTAGTTAGCTGTACAGCACAAGAAATAATGACAAGAACATAAGGCTGCACCTATTCAATACAAATTTTTTTCTAAATAGTTTTGATCAACAATTCCTGAAATACACAGGTGCTGAACCCAGGACCCACTGAACCTCATCCTTTTCTCTCCCATTGTCCTTGCATACTATATTGCATTTGGTGATTGATAAGTCTGTCTGCTTGGACTAGAAACATCTTAAAGGAAGAATAATCGGCAATCTTAGCACCTGGCACATAATGGATGCTCAATGCACAGATGGAGTGAATGCACTATCCTAATCATATGAGCCTACAGGAGCTAAGGATCTGTCCGGGCTGTCCGGCTGTGGCCCTGGGTGTAGCAATGGGAGCAAGCTCAGGGTTGGCAGCAAGAGAAGGACTTGGCCTAGTGGGGCTGGTTTGAAGACAGAAGAAGAGGCCGAACCCAAGACATTCAGGTTGTCTCTAGAACCTGAAAAAGACCAGAAAACAGTTAGTTCTCGTACAACATTTAGAAACTCAGGCAGCCTGCTGGCGCTCCTATGCAACCTCCTGAGAGCCTGGCTGAAGGTCTGACTTAAAGGTAAACGTGCTATTGTCTGTCACAGACACTATAGGATACTCAAACAACCTTGTGCTATTGCTGTTTCTATGGTGGTTCGAATGAGAATGGTCCCTATAAGTCCACATATTTGGACACTTGATCCCCAGTTGAAAGAACTGTTTGGGAAAGATTAGGAGGAAGAGGAAGATTTTTTGGAAGAGGTGCATCTCTAGGGATGGGCTTGGAGGTTGCAAAGATCCCACACCATTCCCAGTTAGGTCTCTCTGCCTCCTACTTGTGGATCAAGATCTAAGCGTTCAGATGCCACCATAGTGCCATGCTCCCCTCCAAGATGGTCATGGACTCACCCTTTGAAACTGTATGCCCCAACAAACTCTTAGTTCTGTAAGTTGCCTTGGTCATAATGTCTTATCACAGCAATAGAAAAGCAATTAATGCACTTTCAAAATTGAATAAGTGCTAGTTGCTTGGAGAACACACATGTTCCCTCATGGTCTTTGGTGATAATTTGTGTCTTAGTGTGAACTTAGGCCATTAATGAGACCTGAATCAAATCATGACGGGGAGACCCACAAAAAACAAAAAGCAGATGACTTCTTGAGATGACTTTTGCTCCTATGTTCTTTGATGCCTCTTCCAGAACAAGGGTTTCTGAAGCAGAGCAGACCATTATTGGGGGGAAAAAAACTGCTCCTGATAGACAAACACCCCATAACATAAGAAGCCAAGGTGTCAGCATCCCCTAAGTAGAGAGTGGATACGCAACTAGCATCTTTCCTCTGCCTTCCTTTCTACCCATGCCTTTGGATGATGCTGGTACAAATATCACTTCCGATGGTCAACCAAGGGAGTCCCTGCCTCCTTCTTCCTCTCTAGAGACCCCCACCTCTCCTCAATTCCTGAAGTAATGATTCCTCATGCTTCAGCATACACCAGGACCACTCAGCTAACCCTGGACTCAGATTGGTGCTGCATTTCCTGGTTGTTGACCTGTCCCAATTGTTGACTGTTTTGTGGTCCTTGATTGCTCTTCTGAGAATTAAGGGTAGCTTCTACTTCATACAGACAGTAGCACAGGAAAGATGAAAATTGCTAATGGATTAATATAGTGCTATCTTATGGAAGGTGCTCATAAATAGATTCATTCATCCAAAAGCAAAAATAGAACACTAAACTAATAAATATATACACATACACACATGGAAGACATATTGCATAAAAATATAAACTATATTAATATAAAATAGGTAAATAAACATATGAATGATATATTAATAGATTGTTCATATATGTATGTAAGCCTATGTATTTGTGTATGTATATATAAGAAATAAGAATTATGACTTATCTTTTCATTTTTCATAGTTCAATAGAAACAAGGCAGGTAAAATATGGAATCATAAGATAATATAGTGAGTTCAAAAAATAGCAAGAAACACATGGGTTCAGAAAAGAGAGATAAATAATCACTCAAGGAACACCTTTGGGTAAAGTCATTATTTTTTTTCCTTTTAGCAATGCTGAGGATCAAACCCCAGGCTTCGCACAGCCTAGACAAGTACTCTATCACTGAGTCACATCCTCTGCCCCAAGGCCACTTTTAAATTGAATTTCCAGGATTAACAGGAATTAGTTGGGTAAAACCCCGCAAGAAACAAATGATATATGCAAAAGAAACAGCAAGCACTAAGGCCTAAGGCAAAGGAAACACACGCATGCCCACACACACTTACATGTGCACACACTCAAATGGACATTATACCACAGAGCTAATAAGGGGAGAGGGATAGAGATTGTTTATTTGTATAATTATTTTATTTTATTGAGACAGGGTCTCACTGTGTAGCCTTGGCTGGCCTGGAATTTTCTATGGAGACTAGGCTGGCTTTGAATTCATGGAGATCCACCTGCCTTTGCCTTCCGGGGCTGGATTAAGGTGTGTGCAATCAGATAAGCTTTATTCATATAATTGTTCTTTACGGGTATAACTGTCATTATGAGAAGCAGCAGACCAAGGGTGTCTTTTCACTGACTCACATGAGTCCCTTAGCCCATGAAGGGAGATTATTATTGTCATTCAATTCTGTCCTTAACTTCTTGAGACATTATGGGAAGACTAGGCAATCTGTGGACTAAAAAGTCAGGGAATTACGTGTCAGTAGACCATGGGGTCCCAAGAGAAGAGGCAAAGTGCTGATGGGTAAAAAACTCTAGCATTTGTTTTTTATTAACAAGCTGTAGTAAAGATTCAAATTATTTTCAATTTTTCCAGCTATTAGTTTTAAAACTTGATTCCATGCCAAGAGTGTACTTTGTGGGGCCTGTTGAAATAGCTGTCATATCTATATATAAATCCAAATCTTCTCTAGCTAGACTATTCATTTGCTGTTTCTCCTGAGTTCCTATCTCTAACCCTTCACTTGTGTTACATGCCCCCACTAGAATGCTTTCCCTACATTCTAAATCCCTTCCGTTCCTTAGGGCCAGCTTACACTCCATGTGTTGGAGGAAAACCTGCCCTTTTGATGGATTTCATGCATTTGTTGTCTGTATCATAGACTTTACTTATCTCCAGAAAATCCTTACAACATCAAAGGAGGCTAGAGAGGGAAATGTTACTATCCTTTAAGACTACTGCCATAGAGGAGGAATTGTTTAAAGCAATCCTTAACTATGTGGTATAGATAATCAATAATATTGCAGACCAGTAGGAATGGTGATTTCATCTCCCAACTTTCTTCTGCCTTACAATGCCAGTAACTTTTCATGTCTAAGTGCAGGTTGCCTTGATTTTTTATTTTTATGTAGCATGGGGTCTATGAGATTATAGTCTTAAAACCTCAATAAAAAGCAATGTCTCTGGAAGATGCTGAGAGAATGTTCACAACGCCTCCGAGGAGCTAAAAGCTCTGTGGCGAAGGGCGGAGTTTTAGCTCAAAATCTCCCCAAGCACTTTCTAAATATCACCAGCTCCAATATCCCTGGAGATAGAGCAAAATTTGCAAATAATAAGGCAGAGAGTGGGTTTTAAACAGTGTAGGACAGGCTCGGCGGTACACCAGAGAGGCTGTTCACAGCTCACATGAGTCGGTTATATCGTTTAAAATTTTGTGAGCAGTTTAAACAAAGCTAGAGTAATTTATCATTAAATAAGCAAAGTTGCCATCCACTACTTCTTACTGAGCCTTTTGGTGCACATCTTTAATCCCAGCACTCGGGAGGCAGAGGCAGGCAGATTTCTAAGAGTTCAGGGCCAGACTGGTCTGCAGAGTGAGTTCCAGGACAGTCAGAGCTATGTGAGAGACCCTGCCTCAACAAACAAACAAACAAACAAAAATCAACAAGAACAGCAACAATAACTGAACTCTTCTTACAAATGCTATTCTTTATATGCTTTTGGAGTGTTTGGATCTACTGTATTTTTATGGTGGACACATTATATAGTACTATAGAATCCTGTACACCTCTCTTCAATTCCTCATTCAGGGATGTCAGTGTGTAGGTTTCAGTTGCCTGGGGTGGGAAATTGGCAGGTCTTAGAACATAGTCCCCTCAAAGAAGAGGAGACAGCTGCAAACCAAGGATATTTAGCATAATGTGTCTCCAGGTTTTGTTTTCATCTTATTTTCTGGCAAACAAATATCAAGTCATGTTGGAAATATACTTGTCAGTTATAAACAAGGTTGACGAGGATATATGGACTTGATTTTTTAAAACTATGAAATAATCCTTTAAGAATCAATTATTATCTTAGGAAGGATTTCTATTGCTATGAAGAGACACCATGACCAAAGCAATTCTTATAAAGGAAAACATTTAATTGGGACTTGCTTATATTTTCAGAAGTTTAGTCCATCATCATCACAACGGTACATGGTGGTATGCAGGCAGACACGATGCTGGAGAAGGAGCTGAGAGTTCTATATCTTGATCCACAGGGAACAGGAAGTGAACTGTCTGACTGAGCATAGCTTGAGCATAGGAGACCTCATAGCCCACCCCCACAGTGACACACTTCCTCCAACAAGGCCATAACTACTCCAATAAAGCCACACCTCCTAATAGTGCCACTCTCTTTGGGGGCCATTTTCTTTCAAATTACCACAGTTATATATAGGAAATTTAAAATGAAATGATTATATTACTTTATGTATTATATAATGTTTATATTATATATTGTTTTTCCTATTACATAATGTTTTATTACAAGTTTATGTTATATATCCCTTATATCAGTAAAATTTGTGATAATTAACACAAACATTAATTTTTGGAAAGCCACTTGTAAAATATTTATTAGCAACCAACAAATGTTAAAAGAGGTGTACCACTCCACAAATGCATTTAAAATTACTTTTAAAGACACTATCCTTTCCAACAAAACTTCTGTACCCTAACCTCTTCCAACTCTAATTTGTCTCTGTTAAACCAAGGGCAGATCAGGGTGAGGGCCCCAGTGAGTAAGAGAGTTCACACTACGGAGCAATCAGCCATCCCTAAACAAGTAAGCATAAACAACTGAAATACTTTCTCTCCCTGCTTCAAGGCTGAGTTTAACAACCACTAAAGGAAGAACAGCATTCCTCCTAACCCCTGGCCCACTGTCTCAGTGATTTCCAATCCAGTCATCTAAGGAACACACATCCACTCCCACATCACCCAATCTGAGAGGCATCTCAAAGTGCCATTAAGCTCTAACACATGGGAATCATAACCTAAGCAGAGAATGTCCCCATGCTGGCCAGAATAGTGCTACATCTCTGAACAATGACGCAGCTGGCAGAGCCAGCCAAGATTGCTCTTTCTGCTCCTTTCTGACCCAGAGGCCACATGGGCTGTGCTCAGGGTAGCCTCAGGTCCCAGAGGTCCCTGGAAGCAAGACCCCCTCTGAAGCAACAGCATTAAACACAGGAAGAGCAGAAGCACGTCAATGAGGTGACATCTTTGGGCTGCCAGGTCCCCAGAGCGGCAGATTGGCAAAGACAGAAAGGAAGACAAACTGGAACTCCAATCCAGATGCCTGGAAAGAGCCAGAGGCTCCAGACATACCCACTTTTCCACATTCTCGAGCTCGGCTAGCCCCCACCCGGTTCTCACGCCATACACTTGCTTTTCGTTAGCAAATTCCAAGAGAGGATCAACAAGCTGGAGTGTGGGGCAAGTCTGTTGCCTGTGTTCCCACCCCTGTCTCTTCAAAATAAGCAAAGACACGAACAACAGACTACTTCATATTGCAGCTTGTGTGTGTATGTGTGTGTGTGTGTGTGTGTGTACACACTTTCAAGTTTTAAGTGGGGAGAAGAAATCAGGAGCTTGGCCCCTATATTAAACTTTTTAGTTGGATAGAGTTATAGTACTACATACACACAGTATTAAACACCTTAGTGAATGCATTTTCTTCTATGCCCTAAGTCAACATTACCCAAGTACATTCAGATAGATGTTTATGCACATTTTATGGGGCAACGGGGGACAGAGTTCCAAGTTTGAGGTATTTCTATTTTCACATTTTAATTGTGTTTGTTTGCAGCTGGACTTCTCAGAGCCTTTTAAGGCAGATTAGATACACTTTATGATTCTGTTTACTGGGGTAAAGTTCACCATATTTTCCAAATTTATTTGCGGCCAGAACCTGTTTCTCAAGGCTATTTCTCAGAGCCAGTGTTCTGCAGAAGGCTCACTATGATGCTTCAGCTGCAGCTATTTTTAAGCTTTTTTGCTTATCAAAATACACTGGTGCTCACATGTGCGGGACTTCATTCATCTCCTCTTACCTGCATCTTGAGCAACCTCAGGATTTCTCTTGTTTCACAACCTCTAGTGTGCTCTCAGGGATTTCATCATATCTGTCTCTCTCCTCTTTGCTTGCAAGAGACTTTCTTGATAGCACTATTTCCATCATTACCAGAAGCTTCTGGAAGGCAGTAGGTCCTGGTGGGGAGGCTCGGGACAAGAAGCCATTTCTGGCCCAGAGTCAACATTTAACTCCAAGGGGCCCCTTGTTCTGGAACATAAAACAGTGAGCATATTTGAGGCATTTGTGGAAAGATTCATGAATGTGCTTTGTTAGCATAAAAGGACACTGAAAAATCATCAATAGCCCTAGCTCTCCCAAATTCTCTGGCAAGAAAATCTGTTCCTTGTGGAGTCTGCCTCCATAGGTCTTACCTATGAGTCTATAATTTTAACAAGTATTCTTGGTGATATTTACCACCAGAAGTATTAAGAAAGCATTAAATTATCTATGAGGAATGAAGACTAGATGGTGAATACAACAGTTATAGACAAAAAAGAGCTAGCTACTTGGCTGGGAGGCAGGGAAAGAGTTGGCCAACACCGAAGTTCTCTTGTTCATCACACAAAGTAAGTATGGGGGAGAAGGGGGCTTATTGGATGCCAAAGGCCATCTTTGAGGGAAGCTAGCAAAGGGTTCCAAGCAGGAACAGAGGCAGTAAACATGGAAGGCCACTGCTCACTGGCTTGCTCTCCATGGCTTGCTCAACCTGTTTTCTTATATAACCCGGAACCATCTGCCCAGGAGTGGTGCCACCCAAGAGGGTGGACTCCACCGCTTAAATTATTAATCAAGAAAATGCCCCCCAGACATGCCCAAAGGACAATCTGATGGAGTCAATTCTTCAATGGAGGTTCCCTTTGTAGATGACTCTTGTTTATGTCAAGGTGACAAAAAACAACCAACGAGGCATGTGTGCATCCTTGTCCTGAGCTGAGCTAGGCATGTGTGCATCCCTGCCCTGGGCTGAGCTAGGCACCTGTGCATCCTTGCCTGGGCTGAGCTAGGCATGTGTGCATCCTTGCCTGGGCTGATCGAGGCTGGAGCTCTGATCATTATATCGTTGATCTTGAGGTTTATACCCCTAAAATGACACTGTCACATACCACACTAGCCATGATTTATCTGAATTTGGGGTCTTTTTAAAATTAAATTATGACCCAGTGAACCATGATAAATTGTTATCTTCATTCAGGAACTGGAGATTTGCTGGGCCCAGGGAAGGGCTATACATAATATATGCATGTGTACATACAAACATACATGTTCTGGCTACTGGCTCAACTCGTATTTATAACTCTTTATAATTGTTATTTACAATTTTCCAAGAACTTATGAATGATGAAAAAATAAAATGGCCTCCATTTTTTAAATGATCTTTGTGTATCTTCTTTATGTGACTTGGGATTACTTGGCAATTTTTATTTCTTCAAGAGAGGAGCAGGGGAATAAAAGTGATATCTGCTTTACTAAAAATAAAATAAACATCCTAAACAAAAGTTTGTTATTTCTAAAAATAATCATAATCATAATCCCCCTTCATGTCTAGCCACCAAGGGAGTCACTGCTGCAACTGATTTCTTGAAAATGTTTAAATCAAAGCCTGGAAAATCTTGTAGCCATTACACTGTAATCTCTATGAATCACCAATTTGCTTTTCATGACTTTCCCCACATTCCTTCTATATTTTGTAGTTTATTTTGTTCCATGTTTTCAGCTGCAGCTTTGCCAAGCCCCAGAGCCTAGAAGTCACCCAAGCAGGGAATGTGTGCATCCCGCTCTGCAAGCTGCCTGCCTAGCAACGAGGCACACATCTGACTTCCCTTCCATCCCATCCTCTTTCTGTCTGGCGCCGAGACAGACAGAAAGCCACCAGACCTAACACTCATGGACTGAGACTATAAACGGCCCAGGATGCCACAGTGAGTTAGAAGCCTTCCTCCCCCAGTTACTGTGAGTGCCTTCTGCAGAGACGGATGACTTTTAAGAAGCGGGGAGGTGCTGCAGTCATGATGAGCTGGGTGCGACCACATCGTGGCTTAGTTAGTGCAATAAATAGTTTACTTTAACTTAGCTTACTGAGTCTCTCCCTTCACGTCTCTTATACACAAACAATCCACTTCCCATTTGCAAACTTTACACATCTGCTTGTGAAACCACACGCTCTCTTGTTAAGCAGATATTTATTTCTCTTTCTCCCCAGCATGGGCAAGAAGTTTCAGAGCCAGTTCACTAGATCAGCCTCCTTCACTGCATGGAGACGGGCGTTTCTGGGTTTGCCTTGGTGTCAACAGCAGGGTGGGTGTCTGATTTACTCATTCAAACGTCTAATCGGAATTCAATACCCATTCACTTATTGACTAAGTGTTATGAAGTGTATGCTGTTGTGTGAGCACAGGTACTGATTTGGTATGGGATGGGATGAAAGGCAGCTAGGCAGTCAAAAACAGCAGCAGTCCCCTCGGGGCCTGTCAACTGCCTTATGCAACCTTGGAATTACAGTTTATTCTTGAGGGAGCAAGGTCCTTCAGGATGCACACCCACAAAAGGCAACCTTTGTCATACAGCCTGAGATTTCCAGAACAGTCAAAGTGCCTCACTGGGATGCTTTATAATTTACAACACTAAATGAGTTCTACTGCTTAAGTAAATACAAAAAGAACAAAGAGCAGTCATTAGCTGTAAAGTAAGATTTTTAATTAATAATTCATAAATTGACTATATAAACAAATTCTTCATAATAATTATAACTTGCACTGTGGGCTTGACTTTTTTTTTTGAAGGGGGAGGCGAGTTTCTGTTTGGTTTGCTCCCTATATGTTATACATCAGCTCTCAGAAACCCCCAAAGATCCCAGTGGAATGTGATAAAATGTCCTTACATCTTAGGATATTCCCACTAACAAATGTAGCGGGACTACAGGAAACACATTTGTCTGTTAGTTGCTATCATAGGAAATCTGCTTTGCTAGCAGCAGGAAAAAGTAAATGCACAATGGCAGAACTCACTGCAAACAGGTGAAGTGACCATGCGCCACTGCCATTGTCAGATGGGACAACAGAATCCTCTTTAACATAGTCATCTGGGGATCCACCAACAACTCAACAAACTGGAGACGGGGATGAGCTTGGAGGGTTGGGAGGAGCTGTTCAGTCTGACGATGCCTTAGCCCAGTGGTTCTCAAATTGTGGGTTGCGACCCTTTGGGGGGGGGTCCAATAATCCCTTCCCAAGAGTCACCTAAGACCATAGGAAAACACATAGATATTTACATTAAAATCCATGACAGTAGCAAAATCACAATTACTAAGGAGTCACGAAAATAATTTTATGGTTGGAGGTCACCACAACATGAGGAACTGTATTAAAGGGTCACAGTGTTAGGAAGGTTGAGAACCACTGACTTAGTCAGTGTCTTAGTCCCTGTTCTATTGCTGTAAAGAGACACTGTGACCATGGCAATTCTTAGGAAAGAAAGGTTTTAACTGGGGGCTTGCTTCCAGTTCCAGAGGTACAGTCCATTATCACCACGGCAGGGAGCATGGGGGCACACATGGCTCTGGAGCAGTAGCTGACAACCACATCCTTGTCCACAGGCTGAGAGAGGGCTGCGGCTTGGCATCGCTTTTGAAATCTAGAAGCCCACTCCCAGTAACACACTTCCTCCAACAAGGCCACGCCTCCTAGTCCTTGTAATCCTTTCAAACAGTTCCACTCCCTGGTGATCTAGCATTCACATAATGAACCTATGGGGCCATTCTTAGTCAGCATGCTTGGATTTATAAAATATGCTTGCATTTGACAAAAGATGCAATTAGAAAATTTCTTATTATCATTATTGCCTTAAGATTATACCTAGACAAAAGTACCTGCACATTCTCTCCCTCCGGCCTAGGGCTGGTCAGTGGTGAGGTGGGAGGCAGAAGTGATTCCATTCTTGCTTTGTTTCAGGCCCACCCAGTGCTTTAAAAAGATTCCCGATCACTAAAAAACACCATAAAGGGTGGAAATGAGAACACCCAGATGGGAAGCTGCATGGTAAGAAACCGCAGAGGGAGATGGGTCCATTTTGTCCTCAGCATCCTTTAGCAATGACTCATGTGATAAATGCCCATGTTCGGTTCCAGGAAAAAACTTGTCTCTTCAGAAAAAATTCTATGTTTTCCATTGTCAGAAAACCAAAACTAAGTAACCCAGCATGTTTCCACTTCGCCTGCTTTGCCAAGAAGCCTGCGCCAAAAATGTATTAGCCAAGTGTTATGATTATCTCCCACAGGTGCCTAAAGTCATCACCCACTCTTTTTTTTTTCTTTTGGTCCTTCAGATGTTCCCAGTTTTCTTTTGTCTTTAAACAGTTTATTTTACATTGTGAATCTGCAAATTTCTTCCATCTCCAGGGAAGGGTTTGGTCACCTGACATTTGAAGACATCTTTAAACTCAAATTCGATGAAATATTCAATAAAGCTCAATGGTTAGGGGAAAGACACTAGTTTTTTTTTTTAATTTCTTTTTTGATGTATGGGCACTTTGCCTGCTTGTATGTATATGTAACATGTACATGCCTGGTGCCCAGTAACGGTAGGAGAGGATGTCAGACTTCCTGGATCTGGAGGTACAGGTGCTTGTGAGCTGCCATGTAGATGCTGGGAACTGAACCCAGGTTCTGTGGAAGAGCAGTGAATGCTTTTAACTGCTATGCCATCATTCTAGCCCCAAGTTTTATACAGTTTACAACACATTAAGAGCTTACTACAGACTAGGCTCCACGCACTATAGCTCTAGCGTTCTTAGGCTCACTAGCCTCTGAGTACCAATGGAGCCATGTTTGCATTTAGAGTCACCTTCAGCTCTGTAACCAGACCCTATAAATGGAAGAGCATCAGGTCCCTTAGACTTATTATTTACAGTCTTGAAACACTGCGGGCATTGAGCATAGACTGTAGGCTTTGTCATTTGAACACGTTCCCCTGGGAACCTGCCCATTACTCCTCTTGTAGGCTCTGATTTACCAATAGTGATGACTTCTGGGAAGACATCAACCTGAAAACCCCCTTGATATGCCCACATATTCCTACATAATCCCTTCCTTTGTTTGGGCTAAATGAACTGCGGGGAGACCATCATCACACCTGTCCTATAGAGAAACAGTGGGGGGAGTATGGGTGGAACCATCTAGGGAAAGGAAGTCAAGAGGGAAAAGAACTGTTCCTAGGTCCACATCTGGCGTTTTCTGGAATTGGAGAGGAAGGTCCAAAAAGGTAGGCACAACATTCAAGAGATGGCAGTGTTGAAAAAACTGCCCTTCTCAAACCTTCAGAGCCCACGAAGCGGGTGCTATTGTTCCTCTGTGACATGGGAAGACTACACTCCATATGTTTTGCCCAAAACACAAAGCTCATTACCATGGAGCTGAGACTCCAGCCAAGTCTGCTGGGCTCTTTCCATGACACACCTGTGTGGAATGGGTGACAGAACAGGCCTTTCACGTTCCTCTTGGTCTATTTCTATCTGTATCCCAAACCTACAATAGACGATGATTAGATCAAAATGCTTCCAAAGTCAACTTCTTCCTCTGGCAGATGCCAAAGACAGCAAGCGAACTCCTCTCTTCTCGTGTGGGGCATGGTAACGAGGAGGGAAGGAGTCACCCGTAGA